CCCAGTCACAGTCCTGTAACAGAATGAAATGCTTCCCCTCTCTAATGGTCTGCAAGCTAATAGCTTCTGCTATCGACACGCTAATTAGAAGAATTAGCAGACCCCTTGGTCAGCGGAGGTGGAAACTGTTTCCCAAAAATTTACGAGTCTCCATATTTTGCAGTATTCCTTGGATCCCTTTTGAAACAAGCCTACCTGGCTAGGGCCAGCACCCACACCTTGTCCCTCCTTCCTTCCCTTAACAGTAAAAGACGCCTGGGTTCCAGATGCTCTTCAGATGGATTTGAGAATTCAGTCCCCCATCTTCTCAACCAATCAACTTGTCTTTGCTCCAAACTCTGATCTATTGAATATTGGCATTTCTTTTGAAGCACTGCACACACCAACCTTGGGCAACAGCTCCTCCCTCACCTTCTTTCCACACTCCTACAAAGTCCCCATCTCCTGAATGAACAGGAAAAGGAGAGATGGTGCTACTGGGAGCTTGTCTGCCGCACGTGAACCTATGGAGGCTGGGAATTGCAGAATGATTTTGTGAATCAGAAAACGAAGACAAGGACAGATTCTCGAAACACCTCCTTTAAGGGGCGGAAGGTATTAGGACAACCTCCAAAGAAACAGGCAGAAACTTCTAGGCAATTTCATTTGAGAAAAGACAAAACGAGGGCTTTTCAAAATATTCCATGGATTCAGAAACCAGGTCATTGATGGAATTAGAAGGGAGACTAAGTACAGGAGGAACAAGAGGTGAAAACTTGGCAGATGCAGTCGGAGAGGAAAATGGGAAATGTCCCAAAGGGCCAGTCACTTCCGGGCCGCTGACTACCGGATTGGAAAGCCACTAGTTCCGGATGGCAAGCGGAGAGGTGGGGCTGCCCTGTGCCCTCTGACCTGGATGAGAAACACCATTTGCTCTGCGGGGAGGGAGGAGCCGACAGCGCCCCCTAGGCCTTAGGGTCTCAGCTCAGCTCCTCCTCTCTGCGCAGAAGCCGCGCCCAGCGGAAACCGCCGTGTGAGGCCGTCGGGGTGAGCGCATCCGGGTGAGCGAGACTGACGGAAGGACCCCGATTCTAGGTTCTGGGGCGGAACGAAGTGGGGACCACCGAGGTGGGGTGCGAACTGGGGTGAGCCGGCACTGGCGCCTCACAGTGGTGGGTGAAGGAGGTGAGGGGGGAATTGGCCACGTCAGAGCCGTTTGGCGGGCTGTGGGAGAAGCGGATGTACTCACTGGATATTTTGGGACAGATTTTCTGGCGGCAGATGGATGATTTAGTGGTTCAGAGGAGCAGGCCGTAGGGGGAGGGCCAGTTGCAGTTACGGGTGTGGAGGTGGCCTGACGTGTGCCGCTCGCCTGGCCCAGGCCAGGGGCAGGTGCGGGCAAGTCCCGGCACTGCAGGTGAGGACCTGCTGCGTGTCAGGGCCTCTGCTCATGGCTGTTCCGGTTTCTTTTTCGATGTACTTCCCTATTCAAGCTTTTGTATATATATCTGATTACTTAATGGAAGATTAAATATTTACTGATGTTTTCATAGGTGCGTATGTTCCCTTTTCACTCTGCAACAACTGGAATTTGGGGAAATTCTGTTGTTTTTGGTGTTTCAAGGACTCCAGAGTGAATGTGTACATTAAACACATTTCGACAGTGTCAAGGACAAATCAGCAGACCTACAATTAAACAATCCAAATAAGGATGATGCCTTACCAAGCAAATCTCCTATAAGAAGCAGACACTGACAGGGAGAATTTGAAACTACCTATCTAGAGATAGAGTCAAACCCCACAGCATCTGAACCCACAAGACTGGCCCCACTGCAGAAGGCAGTCCAAAGTCCAGGTTGTTACCTGCACTTATGATCCACTGTTAATTAGAGGTCCCCACGACCCCCTCTTTGGGTTCCATTAATTTCACAGGAAACAGAACTCCAGCGTTTACTTAGGTTTACCACCTTTGTTATAAAGGGTGCAGAAGACAAGCCAGATGAATAGGCACAAAGGGGGAGATCTGGAAATATATTAAGGACAGGACCTTCTATCCTTGTGAAACTGGAGTGTGTGCCACCCTCCCAGCATTTGGATGTGCTCCTCAACACAGAAACTCTTCAAATCTCTGTCAGTAGTTTTTACTGTTTTCACAGAACTTAATCTCCAGCCCCCAGAATTCATTGGGTTGGGCTGAAAGTTCTAATCCTCTCATCAATTGGTCTTTCTGGTGACCAGGCTACTGTGTGTCCATCTTGGCCCAAGCTGTCATATCATTAATGTAAACTCAGATGTGCTAAAAGAGGGCTTCTTGTAACTGCTGAAATACACTACTATCACTCGGGAAACTTCAAGGGCTTTAGGATCTGTGTGCCAGCAATCAGGGACGAAGACCAGGTATATTTCTTGTTATACCAAGAAAGAATTCTCTTAAGAAAATTGGAAATACTATTCAGAAATTCTTAAGTTTTGTGCCACACATATTCCTATTGTTTAAAACCAGATGTCCCAAGAGGTTTGTTTAAGTTTATGTGTATGTTGACAGCAAACTGAAAGGGAAGGTGAATGTAATTTTCCTTGTTCCTCCAGTCCCTGACAGAATGGGAGATCAAAGAACCCACACCTAATGGTACAAGTAGTCTGGGATCACACCTGGAATCCAACCCACAAAATGTAGAAGCAGATGGAATTGAGGCCTGCCTTGGTCTTTCCTCAATCTGAGTTTATCTCAATTTGGGCAATTTGTTGAGTGTGGGTGTGAAGTCAGAACAAGGAAGAAGATGATGAATTTGGAGTGGAAGAGAAAGGTGACTGGTTTGAAACCGCAAAGATGGATGGATTTGGGAGCATTTAGATGAAGGGGGGAAAAGATGAGGCTTAAAGAAGAGAACAAGAGAACTGCTTAGCTAGAACAGAATAGAGAATCATTGAAATAGAATTCAAAAACTAAATCTTTGGAGGGGAAAACTTTCTAAAAAGATTTGATTTATTTGTTTTTCGATAGAGGGGAAGGGAAGGCGAAAGAGAGGGAAACATCAATGGTGGTTGTCTCTCACTTGTCCCCCAGCTAGAGTTCTGGACAAAAACCCAGGCATGTGCCCTGACTAGAATGGAACCAGCAACCTTTTGGTTTGCAGGAAAAACCCACTGAGCCACACCACTCAGGGCAAAAAGCAAAAACAAAAAAAAAACACCTTTTTTTAATCAAAGAATATTTTAGGAACCTATACTAGGAGAGAGAATATTATAATGAAGCCAGGTGTAATGAACCAAGCTGTAAAGAACCCAGGGGCTATAATTACAAATCTTTTGCCATTCCTTACCTACAATCCTACCAAGTTCTTGCTGTTTTTTGTGAAACAAATCCAAAGACATAGGAGTTCACTTGTAAACTTTTTATTATACTTTCCAAAAGAAACAATTTACAAACTTCTAATACCATTCAGTAACTCAATCTAACATAATTGCCATTAATTTTTTATCCACAGATATCCAACTTCCATATTAAAATTTGATCAAGTATTTGAAGATGGAATATAACTGGGCTTATACATTGTAATCGGTTAGTATGTCCTTTATACTTACTTTAATTCCTGTATACTTTCTCCATGGGTTTTTTTATTTTCTTTTTACTTTTGTGTCAGGAAACATGGTTGAATTTGTAGTAGAGTATATCACAGTCCATATTTTACTAATTACTTGCTCAGTGTGCTATTAAAGGTTTACCAGAGAAAAGAACAAATAATATGTCTCTGGAAAGAGATTTATTTACAAGTGTTGGCTAACAAGGTTATGGAGGCAAAGAAGTCACATGATCTTCAGTCTGCAAGCAGGAGACTGGAAAGACAGTGGTGTAGTTGGAAGGCCTGACAGTCTGAAAATAAATGGTACAGATTCCAATCTGGGTCTGAAGGGCTGAGAACCAGGAGCACGCAGGATAGTACATGGATATGCTAGCTTATTCAGTCCAGCAGAGAGTGAATTTAACGTTACCCCCCATTTTGTTCCTTTCAAGCCCTCAATGAATTGGATGATGTCCACTACATTGAGGAGGGCCTTCTGCTTTGCTCATCCACCAATTTAAATAATAGTTTCTCCCAGAAGTCCTCTCACAGCTATACCGAGTAGTGTTTCACCAACTATCTGGGACTTTTCAGTGGCCCAATCAAGTTGACACGTAAAATTAACCAGGTGATCCTTCACATGTTCCTCCATCCCTTATATTTCCTGTAAATAGGTGGGTAGGCTTCTGTTTGATGAGATTTAGGTTCATTTTTCTAGCAAAACATCTTTATAAATAGTGTTATTTTCTTCCTTCAACAGTTCTGATATCTGTCACTCTTTTTGTGATGGTTGAGGCCAACGATAAATTTGCCTAGATGGATTAATTCTTTTAGAGTTGCAAATTAGATGATAGTCTTCACTGCTAACTCTTCCTCCTTAAATATTGTCATGATATTGTTTTGGTCTACCTGAGATACTTTTTGCTTTATTTTTTAAATTTCTTTATTGATTTTAGAGAGAGAGGAGGAGTAAGAGAAAGAGAGAAAGATGAATTTGTTGTTTCACTTATTCATACATTCATTGGTTGATTCTTGTATGTGCCCTGACCAGGGATCAAACTTACAACTTTGGTGTACCTGGATGATGCTGTAACCAACTGAGCTACCCAGCTAGGACTCTGAGGTACTTTTCAAACAGGGATGGAAGGATTAATGCTGATTGAGCTGTCCTCTAAATGACAATATTTTTTGTCCACAGAAACCACATATGACTTGGATTGTACTGGGTTTTTGACTATGAGGAGACCAGATGATCTACAGTTGGAGAAAAGACATTAAATAAGGAGAGGGTGACGAGAAGGCTGGATATCTGCTGGTGGCTGGGACTTTTCTTGGAAGCTCCTGCTGGCTTCCACAGTTAGCGACGACTGAGAAAACGTCAGCATCTCACTCTTCCTAGCTCCTAGACACTCATACTAACTGCTGAGAGTCTCCTCAGACAGAAACCTGCACTGCACAATGGACTTTGCAGCCTCCCTCCTCGAGCTCCAAGCAGAGGCCAGCTGCCCCCTCTGCCTGGATTACCTGAGAGACCCAGTGACCACTGAGTGTGGACATAACTTCTGTCGCTCCTGCATCCAGCAGCGCTGGGAAGATCTCCAGGACATCTTTCCCTGTCCTGTCTGCCTCCACCATTGCCCTGACAGGAACTTCAAGAAGAACACTCAACTATGCCACATAACTGATATTGTTAAGCAGATTCCCACTACAGGGAGGGAGAGGGAACTGCAGGAAGAAAAACCCCTGTGTGTGAAGCATCATGAGGTTCTGACCCTGTTCTGTGAGGAGGACCTGGAGCTGTTGTGTCCCCAGTGCAGTGCCTCATCAGACTATGAGGATCAGCCCCTGATACCCATTGAGGTAGCTGCAGCTAGTTACAGAAGGAGGCTCAAAAATTATCTTGAGGCACTGACAGTGGAGGTGGAAGATGCTGAAACGGGATTTGAAAACCAAGTGACAAATATTTTTGAAGTGCAGAAGAAGATGGAGAGTTGCAGGAGAGAATTACTCTATGAATGTAAAGAATTTAAGAATTCCTTGAAAGGAGAGCAAGATGAAATCAATGCCAGTCTACTTGTGGAAGAGAAAGATGTTAGAGAAAAACTAACTGAAAATAGAGGGCAAATTTCAAACCATATGCTCATGCTAAATAATCTGTTAATTGAAATAGCAGAGAAGTATTTCCAAACAGACCTGGATTTACTCACAGATATTGAAAGTATTCATAAGAGGTATGAAAATTTAGCAACCCCAGCAGTCTTTTCATATGAATTAAAGAAGGAGATTTGCATCCTCCCTCCACATTATTTTGGCCTGCATAAAATGATCAGCACATTTCAGGTAGATTTGACCCTGGATCCTGAAACTGCCCATCCAAGTCTCTTAATCTCAAGAGACAGAAAAAGTATGACTTATAAGGCACCAAGTGGTCTTCATGATCCCCAGGTACGTGCTTCTTACCCAGCGGTCCTCAGTTGTGAGACATTTGATGCTGGCAGGCATTTTTGGCAGGTAGACATAGGAGGCACAGGTGAATGGTCTTTAGGTATATGTAAAGAATCTTTCCCTAGAAATGCTTTTATATCACTATCACCACGCAGTAGGTGCTGGCACATTGAGCTTTGTGCTAGTATATGCGGAACATGCCGTAGAGGACATATCATGCAAGTTGGCATTTTTCTGGACTATGAGTTGGGAGAGATTTCATTTTATAATATGAATAATAGGTCATATTTGTATAAATTCTCTGATACGTTTACAGAAAAACTTATGCCTTATTTCTCTAGTGCACCTTCTTCAAAATCTGTTACAATTAGTATCATCAGAGACAAATGATGAAAAACTTGGAGGACAGTTTTGTATGTGGTTATTTTCTTCCCTTGTTTTGGAAGCAACAATTATAATGAAGATTCTGATTCCAGTTTGGATGTTTGACTGTTGAAAGCTTTTGGGACTCATGCTTCTCTGCTCCCCTTAACTCACACCTGGGAAAGCTGAAGAGAAAGCCCAGGTGCTCCACCCTTGGGTGCAGGTGGGAAGTTGCAACCAAGCAAGTCCCTAGTGGTGCCAGCACCCTCCCACCACCAGCACCCAGTAACCTCCATAAACACCACAAGCTGGTTCCTTTTCCCTGTGCTCTCAGTTACTTTGGGACATAGTCTGAGATCCACCCTACTCTCCCCACAAAACCTCATTGTGTAAGTAATAATCTGTTTTATACTCTTCTGGTATATGGTGAATCATCATCAGTCTTAACATTTGAAACAAATTTTCATGACTTCCACCCTGACTATACAGTGTGGTCACCACTATTGGCAATGCAAATAGGATTATCCAGATGTGAAGTGCCCCCAGCAGGGGGTTCTCTGGCTTTGTGTGTAACAGGCTCTGCTTTGCTAGGCAAGGGTGCCCTTTCAGCTTTGTGCTGCTTTGCTGAGTTCTCCCCAGGCTGTGCCGCACATTTAACTGACCTAAGAAGTCTCAATAAGGATCATATTGTATTTACTTTTTATTATTTTTTTGTATAATTTTGGGGAATTCTAATTATTTTTTTATTTTATTTTATTTATTTTAATTATTTGTTTGATATTTTATAAAATCACTTTCATATATATCCTCCAAATGTCACATACTCATGTTTAACATGTGAAACTGTTGACCTTTTAGAACATGCCCCTGTTTGGAAGCCTGTATGGGTATTGTTTATAGAGTTAAGAAATAAAGTTTTACTTTGTATATCTCTGTACTATTTGTCTATCTTCAAAATTGAAAAGATGCTCAGCACAGTTTTCCTTGAGGTACAAGGGACCCCTGCACTGATCACAGTAGCCATGCCATGCTGTGGTAATCTCAGTTGCTTAGCAAGAATAAAACAAGTATTCATTCCTATAAAGTGCAGTGTGGCGCACTGCTGCATTACCTACTCAGGAATCTAACCCCCACAGTCATGGGTTGTCACAGCACTGGCTCACTACAACTAGAGAAAGAGGGAGCATTAAATTGCACAGTGAGCCTTAAAGGCCAACACCAGGAAGAGATGCATTTTTTCTTACTCTATTTTCTAGAAGTAATTGCAAGCCTCTAATTGTCTGCAAGGGGTGTGAAAGAATGCATGTATTGTGAGGTGAAAAGCTACTGTTTGCCATAATTCCTGATCCAATTAGATATTAGTGAAATTTCCATTAATGACGATTTAGTGGTCTTCAACTATAGGTTTAAAAGTCTTTGACTGTAACTTGTAAATAGATTTAACAGACATTTACAATATATAATCCTACAGTGGTGGTTTAGTAAATTCCCACAATAAAGAAGATATTCCCTTTAGGTAAAATAGCCTTGCAACATTCTTTATTTGGTAGAATAATAAACCAGTATTATTTTGAAATTTTGGTAATTTGTTAGAAAATGAATCATTGAGACTAGTGTTTAAACTCAGTGAGATGAGTCTTGGCTGGGGTGGCTCAGTGGATTGAGCACTGGCCTGCTATGAGAAAGGTTGCTGTTTTGATTCCCATTCAGGACAAGTGCCTGGGTTGCAGGCTGGGTCCCTAGATGGAGGTGGGCAAGTGGCAAACAATTGATGTTTCTCTTGTACATGGATGTTTTTTTCCCTCTCTTTCTTCCTTACTTCCCCTTCTCTAAAATAAAAAATTACTTAAATACATAAATAAGTAAATAAATAAATAAATACCTACATACATAAATACATAAACTCAATGGGATGAATGGGGATAAAACCTCAACTGGGATGGATTTCTGTGGATGTATTGCCTAGGAGCTACTTAAAAGACTATTGTGACATTTGAAGCCAGCGGTGGAGCCGAGGTATGTTTAGATCAGAACTCACACAAGAACTTCACACTTGCAATGATCCAATATACTCAAAATTCAGTTGCCATGGATACTTAATAGCCCAAGTATGCCACAGGTTTAAATTTCAGTTAAGCATGGTATATTAACAGCAATTCTCAAAGTAGCCACAAGATGGGCATAGAGGATTGAGTCTCCAGCCACAGAGGATCACTCTCCTCAGCAAGTTCGTCACTTACAAGTTCTGCTTTCCACATAACAGTAGTATACCATTCGGCTGTTTTCTGTCACTGTATAACAACCACATAGGGTCTCATTAAGTGAATAATAAACCATTTCACACCCTCTTGGTGTGTTTGTGCCATTAGCAGTCTTGACACCAGAACCAAATTTCAATGGCTTGGGCATGACCATAATGGTGGTACTTAGTATGTTGCACGATTCCTGGGATAATCTGATCCCAGGAGGGATGGTGTATTTGTGTTTGTTTTCTAGCTACTCTGAGACAAGCAGTTTCGTCCCTCACTTTCTGATATTATCTATATTTTATTTGTGATTCCCCACTGCTCTTGGGAAACACATGAAAATCTTATAAATTCTATACACTTATATTTACACAAAATAAAAGTATTATATCACTGTTTCTTCTGAAAAAAATCTACCACAAATCTCTCTCTCTTTTTTTAAACATTGAAGAGGCAGTGAGTATTTTAAAACAACTGAAAGCCTGGTGGTTTTGCTAAGTTGATTGTGCACCGGCCTGGGAACCGTAAAGTCACTGGTTCCATTCCTAGTCAGGGCACATGCTGGGTTGCTGGTCATATCCCCAGTTTGGAGTGTGCAAGAGGCAACTGATTCATGTATCTCCAGCAAATTGATGTTTCTCTCCCTCTCTTCCACTCTCTTAAAATACACATACACACACACACAAATAAATACTGAAAAAATAAAAACATGAAATGAATCTACATAAGGAAATTTGAAAAATATCTCCATATAATACTTTTAAAAAGTGTTAAAAAAGCAAAGGACATACCATATTTATAATGTAAAATCAATGAAGAAAAGTTGTTTATATTGTATATGAACACTACATTCCTGAAATTTGCAGAAGAAACATAAAAATTGTAAGGCTGAGAAGTAGCCTGGATCCTGATGGTCTCCAGCAATTTTTGGGTGCTTTTTGACTCCAAAAGTACATTTGGCTTTCAATGTACCCCACTACATATCCAGAAATACTAGAGAAAAAATATATATGATGTCCTCATGTCCACCAGTCTGAGCTGAGGGATGGGACACATGGAACTGGGCCATTGAGAGCTGTTTTGCATAGCAACAGCTTTGCAGCTAACCTCTGACATGGTCATTTAACACATCTATAACCATCAACTGGTTTCACAGATATGTTAAATAGCTGTGGCCAGGCTTTGAGCCAGGGGCATAGGAGTGACTTCAACCCAGGATATAACTGGGAAGCAACTCCCCCTGGTTACAGCACCTGCATGAGAGCTTGGAGATGATTGGCTCCACACCATGGGGACATGCCTGCCTGGACTTATTATGGCAGCCCAGTAAGGCTGGAAAAATACGGGAATGCTGGCAGGTGTAACTGGTTGTGGGAGGAGTTGGAAACAGGGCTGCAGAGGAAGATTGGCACAGGGATTTAAACCCAGGTGTGGCAGCCATACTAGGTCAGGACCACACACCTTTGGGTTGCTCCCTTTTGCCACGTGGCTTAGGAAGCAGGAGAGACTTTACCTGGAAGAAAAGGAATGAAAGGACTCTTGCTGATGGAACATGAGAAGGTGCCACATGGCTTTGGATTATCTGGAGATCATGGCGGTGACACAACTGATGGTGCTGGGAGCCTGAATCATGGACTCCTACTTCTTTTCCTGAGATATGGTACCCCAGACTGGGTAGAGGGAGAAGTAAGAACTGTGTGTGTCTGTGGGTATTCTAAAGGACGTTAGTATTTTAATGAAGACATTAAGTCATTACTCTAAGTCTGTGTAACTTTTAAATAAATAATTCCTTTCCTTTCACCAATCTCTGGCATTGAGAGACACCTTTCCTCTAGCAGTAGGCAAAGCGATCCTAGTTCAGGGGAAAACCCCCGGAGAAAAAAGGGGGGGTCCTTTTGGTAACAGTATATCATTTAACCCCCACCCCCATTCTGTTCTGTAACAGGCTGAGAGAAACTAACCTGTTAAACAGACTGAGGATCTACAGTCTGAGACCAGTCCGCAACATTTTATGTTGCTTGGTTAATAATGTGATATGAGCAACTATGTTCTATGTCTTACACTTTGCTTTTTTTTAATGTTTCTGTTTATTTGAGCCAAAATTGGTGACAATTGTTGGAAGGCAAGATCTCACATGCTCCCTACACTTTGCTTTTTTACACAAAAAGTATGTCTAGAGAGTTTTTTACACTCACATGCGTAGGTATATTGCATGTATTGCCATAAGCATTCACTGCTTCTTCAATGTAAAGCCAAATGAGATCAATTATATTTGTCAGATTTTTCTTCAAAGAAATAGTTCTGTATTTCTGTCTTTTTTTGTAATGATTTTACCTTTTTTGTTGTTGCAGTTTTATAACTTTATTCAACAGTCAGCAGTTAATGCTTATCCACATTACTTGTTTGTAGATTTTAGAAAGTGGTGACAGGCACATAGGTAACCAAGGCTTAGATCTTGTTTGGAGAATCTTCATCCTCATTATGTTTTCTGGACACTGCCCCAGAACACACTATGGACATTCCTTATTCCTTTAGTCCAGGCAGCTTTGTTGTGCGTAGTATTAACATGTCTGTCTGGAGTCACATCTCTTCATGACATATTTCTGGGTCTCTTTGAGAGCCAGAGTGGACTGCTTCTTGAAACTCATTGCATGGATGCACTTGTGAATGTTGATAGTGTATTCTGTGTTACTACCTCTTTGATGGCACAGTGGTTTTTTCTCTTCTCCTGTCTTGGAGGGAGCCATTATGCAGGGCCAAGATGGAAAGAAAGATTTTACTTTTATTTTCTGTTTTTTTCCTCAGCAAAGATGGGATTCAAGGGTGTTGAGGTCAAGGGACATTACAGACATGCAAATTAGATGGTGCATATTAATACAGGGTTAATCTCTATTAGCATAAACTGATCATAGGAGATCCCGCCCCCTCTCCCCATCTATAAGCACTTGTGAACACCCTCTCACACCCACCCTTGTGCAAACCCTCCTCAAGGGAGAAGCCACCAGATTTTGGTGAGCAATGTTCTAAATAGTTCCACCCACTGAGTGGTAATATAGATATGCCATGGTCACATTATACTGTGCTAGACTAGATTAGAGACTAGCTTCAAAAACTTCCTGGAGACCCACTTCACAGACTCACCTAAAGCAGCTGATTCCAGGTAAGCTGGGAGTCCAGACCATACAGGAGTGGGAGGCAGGAGCACCGGGAAAGCATTGGTCTTGTGTGCTGCTGCTATAGGAGGACCTTGACTGCAGCTTGCAAGGGAATCCTAACTTGGAGTCAAGTTAAGACACATGCTTTTATTATTGTTCATGTCCCTCAGTGAGCCTTGCTGTAAGTCATCAAACCACTTGCTGAAAATACAGATACTGTGATACCAAACTGATTTGAGTGGTGACCAATATCTCCATGTGCAAAGAGCCTAGAGGCCCTGGTCTGAAGCCGCCTGTTGGAATCTTCTAGAATATCTCAGTGTCTAGTGTCTATTATTGTGTAAAACCAGATACTCCTAGAGGTTTATCTAAATTTATGGGTATGCTGACACCAAACTGGAAGGGAAAGTGAGCGTTCTTTTCCTTGTTCCATGTATCTCTGAAACAAAACAGGATCAAAGACCCAATCCCAATGACACAGGTAGTCTGAGTTCAGGCCTTAAATCCAACCAAATTAACATACAAGCAGGTGGAACTTCAATGCCTGCCTTGGTCTTCCCTGAATCTCAGTATTTCTCCATTTAGGAGATTTGTTGGTTGGGAGAGGAAGTGAGAACAGGGCAGAAGATAATGGATTTGGAGTGGAGGAGAAAGGGGAGTGGATTGAAAATAACTGTGGGGAAGGAAAGAAATGGAATGAATTTGAGAGTTTTGAGATGAAAGGAAATGTCTAAAGAAGAGAGTAAAAATAACCATCTTGGCTAAAATAGAGCAGAAAATCACTGCTCTATTTAAATGGCAAACTGAATTCAAAAGGTAAATCTTTTTAATTATTTTTAAAATCATAGAATATTTAATGCATCCAGAATGGGAGAGAAAATATTATAATCTTGTGTAGGAAGAACTCACATGCTAGGATTGTAATCTTTTTGCAATTTCCACTTATAGCCCTCCAACATTTTGCCATTTTTTTTTTACAGGAAATCCCTAGGATTTCACTTGTAAAGTTTTTAGTATATATTTCTAAAAGAGATGCTTTATTCACATACTTCTAATGCCATTTATTATCTCAATGTAACATAATTATCATTATTTTTTAAATCCTCAGATACCCAATTTCCCAATTGAATTTTGACCAAGTATTTCAAAATCAAATGAAATTAGGTTTATAAATAAAAATAGTTTCATTGCTTCTTGGCCTTTTGGCTAAGATCAAGTGTAATACCTGTTCTTATCAGTTTAATATCTGATACTTCCTCTATCCGAGGACAATATATTAAATGGAGTTTTGGAATTAGAAGATGGAATAGAGGCTTGCTGCATCCACTCCATGCATGGGCCTGGTATTGCAGCACTTCCAGGAACAGTGCACCAAAACAAACAAATAACAAATGGTTTAGTATGGCTTTTAAGTCTACTTTAATTTCTACATTCACCCTCTATGAGATGTTTATTTTTTCTTTATATTTGTGTTGAAGAAGTGAGGTTAAATTTTTAGTAGTTTGTCACAGCCTGGATTTTACTGATTACCTATTCAATATATTGCTGATGGTTTATCAGAGAAACAGAACCAATAGTATGCATCTAAAAAAAGTTATTGGGAAGCCCTGGCTGGCATAGCTCAGTGGATTGAGCGCGGGCTGTGAACCAAAGTGTCGCAGGTTCGATTCCCAGCCAGGGTACATGTCTAGGTTGCAGGCCATGACCCCCAGCAACCGCACATTGATGTCTCTCTCTCTCTCTCTCTCTCTCTCTCTCTCTCTCTCTCTCTATCTATCTCCCTCCCTTCCCTCTCTAAAAATAAATAAATAAAATCTTAAAAAAAAAGTTATTAAAAAGTATTGGCTGACAAGGTTATAGAGGCAAGGAAGTCCCATGATCTGTTGTTTGTAAGCAGGAGACATAGGGAAGATGGTAGTGTCGTTGGAAAGCTGAAGACTTTTAGAACGCATGGTACAGATTCCAGTCTGTGTCTGACGTGCTGAAAACCAGGAACATCCAGGAGGAGATGTGGTTGTGGTGGCTTATTCTGTCCAGCTGAGAGTGAATTCAATGTTCCTCCAGTTTTCGTTCTCTTCAGACCTACAATGGACCAATGGATTGGGTGATGCTCACCAACACTGGGGCAGGGCCATCTGCTTTGCTCATCCACTGATTCAAATACTAATCACTCCCAGAAATGTCTTCACAGTCACACCCAGAACTAGCGTTTCACCAGTGACCCAGGACATCCACTGGCCCAATCAAGTTTCACATAAAATTGACCAGGTAATCCTTCACATATTTCTTCATCCCTTTAATTTCCTGTAAATAGGTAGTTGGACCTTGCTTGATGAGATTTAGGTTAATTTTCTGACAAATTTTTTTAATAAATAGTTTTATGTACTTATTTTGGCAATTCTATGATATGCTTGTCATTTTTAAATATATTTCCATTATTGATTGATTTGAATTTTAGAGTGAGAGAAGAGAGAGAGAGGGAGAGAGAAAGAGAGAGATGGACTTGTTTTTCCACTTAATCGTGCATTTATTGGTTTATTCTCACATGTGCCTGGACCAGGAATCAAACTCATGACCTGGGCTTTGGGCAAATGCTCCGACCAACTGGGGACCTGGCCAGGATCACTCTTTTTGTGATGGTTGAGATCAATGATGAATTTGCTTAGATTGACTAATTCATTTAGAGTTGCAAACAGATCATAGTCTTTATTGCTAACTCATCCTTAAATATTGTCATAATAACTGATTTTGTCTACCTGGCACATTCTTCCTCCAGAAATGGAAGGATTGATGTTGACTGAACTTTTAAATGCAATCTTGTTTTATCCACAGAAACCATATGACTTGGATGGTCCTGGGTGTTTTACCACGATTATTCCATGTCACTTGAGAAAATGTGTTAATATATATACTAGAGGATGACAAGAAGACTGAATATCTGCTGGTGGCTTGAACTCTTCTTAGAAGCTCCTGCTGCCTTCCACAGAGAGCAAGAACTGAGCAGACAGCAGTCCTTAGTCCTAGGTTCTGGAGGCTCATACTAACTGCTGAGAGTCCCCTCAGACAGAAACCTGCACTGCACAATGGGCTTTGCAGCCTCCCTCCTCGAGCTCCAAGCAGAGGCCAGCTGCCCCCTCTGCCTGGATTACCTGAGAGACCCAGTGACCACTGAGTGTGGACATAACTTCTGTCGCTCCTGCATCCAGCAGCGCTGGGAAGATCTCCAGGACATCTTTCCCTGTCCTGTCTGCCTCCACCATTGCCCTGACAGGAACTTCAAGAAGAACACTCAACTATGCCACATAACTGATATTGTTAAGCAGATTCCCACTACAGGGAGGGAGAGGGAACTGCAGGAAGAAAAACCCCTGTGTGTGAAGCATCATGAGGTTCTGACCCTGTTCTGTGAGGAGGACCTGGAGCTGTTGTGTCCTCAGTGTAGTGCCTCATCAGACTATGAGGATCAGCCCCTGATACCCATTGAGGTAGCTGCAGCTAGTAACAGGAGGAAGCTCCAAAGGTATGCTGCGCACCTGAGTGTGGAGATTGAAGATGCAAAAGTGGGATATGAATATCAAACTGCAAAAACTTTGCAAGTGATGAGGAAGATGGAATATTGGAAGAGGGAATTACACTATGAATATAAAGAACTTAAGTGTTCCTTGGAATTAGAGCAAGAGCAAATTAATTCCATCTACTTATGGAAGAGAAGGATGTTGAAGAAAAACTGAGAATAGAAGACAAATCCCAAACCATATGTTCATGTTAAATAATATGTTAAGTGAAATGGCAGAGAAGTATTTCCAGACAGACCTGGATTTACTCACAGATATTGAAAGTATCCGTAAGAGGTATGAACACTTAGAGACCCCAGCAGTCTTTCCATATGAATTAAAGAAGGAGATTTGCATCCTCCCTCCACATTATTTTGGCCTGCATAAAATGATCAGCACATTTCAGGTAGATTTGACCCTGGATCCTGAAACTGCCCATCCAAGTCTCTTAATCTCAAGAGATAGAAAAAGTATAATTTATAAGGCACCAAGTGGTCTTCATGATCCCCAGGTACATACTTCTTACCCAGAGGTCCTCAGTTCTGAGCCATTTGATGCTGGCAGGCATTTTTGGTAGGTAGACATAGGAGACACAGGTAAAGAATCTTTTAGGTGTGTGTAAAGAATCTTTCCCCAGAAATACTCTTATGTCACCACCCTCAAGCAATGGATTTTGGCAATATTCCCTCTGGACTAGTTCATGCAGTCCATTCTCTATTTGAGTGATTGGGGTTTTTCTGGACTATGAGTTGGGAGAGATTTCATTTTATAATATGATTAACAGATCATATTTGTGTAAATTCACTGATATGTCTACTGAAAAGCTTATACCTTATTTCTCTGGTGAACCTTCTTCAAAATATCTTACAGTTAGTATCATCAGAGACGAATCATGAAAAACTTGGAGGACAGTTTTGTATGTGGTTATTTTCTTCCCTTGTTTTGGAAGTGATAGTTATAATGAAGATTCTGATTCCAGTTTGGATGTTTGACTGTTGAAAGCTTTTGGGACTCATACTTCTCTGCTCCCCTTAACTCACACCTGGGAAAGCTGAAGAGAAAGCCCAGGTGCTCCACCCTTGGGTGCAGGTGGGAAGTTCCAACCAAGCAAGTCCCTAGTGGTACCAGCATCCTCCCACTACCAGCACCCAGTAACTGCCATAAACACCACAGGCTGGTTCCTTTTCCCTGTGCTCTCAGTTGCTTTGGGACATAGTCTGAGATCCACCCTACTCTCCCCGCCCCAAAACCTCATCGTGTAACTAACAATCTGTTTTATACTCTTCTGGTATATGGTGAATCATCATTAGTCTTAACATTTGAAGCAAATTTGGGATATGTGTCGTACCCCCTGCCCCCCCACCCCTGCGGCAGTTTAGTAACCTAGTGACCACCATTGGTGTTGTAAATAGGATTATCAGTTGTAAAGTGCTCCCAGCAGGGGGTTCTCCTCTGGCTTTGAATGTAACAGACTCAGCTTTGCTAGGCAAGGTGGCCCTTTCAGCTTTGTGCTGCATTACCTGAGATGTCACAAGGCTGTGCCGTACATTTAACTGAACAAAGTCAGAAGTCTAGATAAGGATCACATTGTATTTACTATTCATTATTTTTCATATATTTTTGGGAATTCTAATTGTCCTGCTTTTGTTTCACCTTGATAAAATCATTGTCTTTTTAAAAAAGATTTTATTTGTTTTTAGAGAGGGGGAAAGGTGGGAGAAAGAGAGGGACTAATAACCCAAGTCCACTGGTTCAAATTTCAGTTAACCATAGTATATTAATTGAGAACATGGAGTCTTTAGCCAAAGATGATCACTTTCCTCAGCTAAATAGCCAAGTTTATCACTTACAAGTTCTGCTTTTCATGCAATGGCAGAGGAACATCAATGTGTGATTGCCTCTCGTGCACCCCGTACGGCTGACCTGGCCTGCAATCCAGGCATATGCCCTGGCTGGGAATGGAACCCATGACCCTTTTGTTTTCAGGCCAGCACTCAGTCCACTGAGCCACACCAGCTAGGCTGAAATCATTTTCATATAAAACCACCAAATGCCACACACATGTTTAATATTACATGAAACGGTTGACCTTTTAGAACATGCCTCCATTTGGAATCCTGTATTTACAGTGTTGGTAAATAGTTTTACTTTACCTCCACACTATTTTTCTTCCATCATAATTTGAGAAAATGCTCAGCAGAGCCTTCATTGTGGAGGTACACTGCACTGATCAGAGTAGCCATGCCTTGCTGTGGTACTCTCAGTTTCTTAGGAAGACAAACTAATACTTATTCTTGTAAAGTGCAACGTGGGGCATTGCTCCAATATCCTCCCAGGAGTGTAACTCCTTCAGTCATGGGTTGTCACAGCACTGGGTCACTGCAACTGAAAAAAGAGGGAGCACACTGAGATTTGAAGGTAAGCACCAGGAAGTGACACATATTTAATCATATTCCATTTTCTAAAAGTAATTGCAAAACTCTGTTGGGGACCACCCTGCCTGGTCTCAGGAAGCTGCAACCCCCCCCCCCCCCACCCCGTGACTTAGGCTGAGTGAAAGACCTCTGGACCAGGAGCCACTAAGGAGACAAAAACTTATTTCCCTGACATGAACGCTGCCTGTTCTAATGCCTGGCTCCCTTACATGATCGGCAGTCAAAGACCAGGTAACAATTCTCTAAGAAAGAGAATGAATCTAAGACAGATGTGATCACGTGGGAATGCCCTAAGGGAAGAGACTCGGGGCTGTGGAAATGAAGGGGTGATGGACATCAACCCCTGCCCCCTCAGCTTTGTCAAAGCCTGAGTCTTTGTTCTTAGATGTGAGAAATCCAAGTCTCCTGGCGGCCTCTGTCTCCTGCCCTTCTCAGGCCTGTGGAAATTAGCAGGAGCGGTGCAGCCCAGACCAGAAACGGGGGGACCCCCGGGGTAATCAGGCCTGGGACATAGAATATGCAAGATCCTATGAGATCTGTTTGCTGGAGGATGTTATTAGATTAGAATTTGAAGGCACAGACAGGAAACCAAAACTGCCCTTTGAGCCCTGTTAGATAAAACCCCAATCTCTGCCCAGAATCACAGCAGGGGTTCTGTCTGCACCTTTGTAAGTCACCTACTTCTTTTGATCTTTTCTGCCACACTGTGAATCCACAAACTAAGTCTGTATTCTCAATACAAATCTGCTTGGGAATGGAGAAGGGCGCTCTCCACTAGAGAGAGTGGCCCTTCTGTCCTTATTTCCCCACAGGACCTGGGTGTTTCTGTGTATGTTTTTTCTCATGTTTCGATGACCATCCGCAGCAGAGATGGATACTGCTGGAAGGTTTCATCCACAAAACTCCACTTATCTGTAAGGGTAAGAAAGAATATAGGCATACAAGAATACCAGACTACATGTGGTGAAAAGCTTCCATTTGCCATAATTCCTGAATCCATTTAGACTTTAGCGAAATTTATATTAATGATGAGTGCTAGAGTTAAAGGATTCCACTTAGAACTTGTAAATAGCTTAACACAGAAATTTACTTTCCTTTGGCTTTATCATATCACAATCGTTGAATAACTACCCAATACTGGAGAAATTTTTTTTAGTAAAATAAACCTAAATGCATTTTGCATTTTTTAGAAACATAAAGCACTGTTGTTACAGAACACAACAAGGGGGGGCCTGGGATGATATACTATTATCAAAAGAAGGCTCTGGGTCCGTTATGTCTGCCGTCCTAGGAAAGACGTCTCTCAATGCCAGAGATTCGTGAAAAGGAAAGGAAATGTTTATTTAATGCTATACTAACTTAAAGTAGTGACCTAATGTCTTTATTAAAAATCCTAAAGTCCCTAAAAACACCCACAAACACACACAGTCCTTCCTTCCTTCCCCCTTTGCCCAGTCCAGAGTACTGTATCTCAGGAAAGGAAATAGAAGTCCATGGCTCAGGCAGTCCTCTGGTTCTTCCTCTCAGGGCTGCAGGAGTCTCCACTCTGTCCAGGCCGCATGGTTCTCCCCCAATGGCTGCTGTGTCTGGGTTTAAATCCCCCGCGCCAATTTTCTTCTGCAGCCCCATTTCTGACTCCTCCTACACTTGGGCACACTTGCCCTCAATCTGCTGTCTTCTCTAGCTTTTCTGGTCACCATTGTGGGTCTGGGCAGGTGTCACCCCATGTCATGGAGCCAATCTTCTCCCAGCTCCCACGCAGGTGCTGTAACTCAGGGGACCTGCCCCCCAGTCACATCTGGGGGGGGAGATCCCTTTCCATCCCCCTGGCCTCGAGCATGGCCATAGCTATTTAGCATATCTAAGTGACCAGCCAAAGGCTATAGGTATGTTAAATGATCACGCCATGGATTAGCTGCAAAGCTGCCCTGCATGTTCTTGCTCTGTGTGCCCCTTCTCCCAACTCACACCTGTGGGGGAAGGGGTGAAGACATCTTAAAATCTCCTGGACACCTTGAGTTCTGGACCCCATTTCAAATGCCTATTTGGGATCCCCCCTCTTGGCTGCACCCTGTAACACTGTTATTTTGAAGTTTTGCTGATTCATTAGTAAATGAATCATTGAGACTAACATTTAAACACCATGAAACAAATATGGGGGAAAAGCTCAACTGGGAAAGACCTCTGTGGTTAAGTTGCCTGGGAACTACTTGAAGAACTGGTTTTACATTGTGAAGGCCAGGAGTTCACACTTTGCATAGTTCAAATGAGTACAAAATTCAGCAGTCACAGTTGCTTAAATAACCCAAGTCCACTGGTTCAAATTTCAGTTAACCATAGTATATTAACTGAGAATGTGGAGTCTTTAGCCACAGATGATCACTTTCCTTAGCTAAATATCCAAGTTCATCACTTACAATTTCTGCTTTTCACACAATGGTAGTACACAATTCAGCTATGTTTCTGTCACTGTATAACAGAAATAACCTTTCTCCAGTCTCATTTCATATTTACCCCATTTCCAACTGAGCTCTCACAAAGGACCTTTCATGTTCACTTTTCTACCAATATATTCCTTCAGAAAACATGTCTTCTCTAGGGCTAATTTATCTAAATTGTAATGGGCTCACTGTTGGGCTGGTAAATTCCATTGTCCGCAGAATGGGTTAGAATACAGTAATACTCTGTGGGGAGAAACAAAATCCCAATGGACTGAATCTTCTAGGATAGGAGATTGATGTT